TTTCACGAGTGTGCTTCAAGTGAACACGAAAATTTGAACCTCTTGACTTGCATGATTTTGTGGGGTTTTCTGAGTCAAGTGAATAGCAAACCATTTTCACAGATGACCTCAGGCTGCTTGAGGGGAAGAGGAAGAGCTGTTATTTGTGTTCTTGATTGTAGCCATCTTAGTGGTTGTGAAGTGGTGTCTCATTGTGGTTTTGATTCACATTTCTGTGATGATTAGTGATGTTGAACATCTTCTGAAGTGCTTTTTGGCCATCGTATATCTTCTTTAGAGAAATGTCTATTCACATCTTTTGTCCATTTTTTAAATTGAGTTGTGTATTTATTGATTGACTCATTGATTGGAGACAGGGTCTTGCTCTTGTTGCCTGGGCTAGAGTGCAGTGGTGTCATCATAGTTCATTGCAGCCTCAAACTCCTGGGCTCAAGCAATCCTCCTGCGTCAGCCTCCCGAGTAGCTTGGACTACAGGTGTGTACCACCACACCTGGCTGAGTTTTAAAATTTTTTGTAGAAATGGGTCTTGCTATTGTCCAGGCTGGTCTTGAGCTCTTGGCTTCAAGGGATCCTCTTGCCTCAGCCTCCCAAAGTGCTAGGATTACAGGCGTGAGCCATCGTGCCTGGCCTGTCTTGTTATTGTTGATTATAAGAATTTTTTATATATCCTTGATGCAATTCCCTTATGATTTGTAAATATTTTTCCCCATTCTGTGAATTGTCCTTTTACTTTCTTGATGGTAGCCACTGAAATAGAATATGTTTTAAATTTTGGTGAATTCTAATGTATCTTACTTTTCCTTATGTCACTGTGCTTTTGGTCATATTTAAGAAGGCTTTACCTAACTCAAAGTCATGAAGATTTACTCCTATATTATGCTTGTTCTTGAAGTTCATATAAATGGAATCATATAGTGCATACTTTCTTACACCTGACTTTCATTCAGCCTAATGTCTATATAAGATTCATCCGTGTTGACGCACATATCAGCAGTTTGTTTCTTTTTATTGTTGGGTAGTAGTGCAGTGAATGCACATACCATAATTTGATCATTTATTTTTCTGGACATTTGGGTCGTTTCTGGTTTTGGGCTATTATGAATGAAGTTTCTATGAACTTTCAACTACAAGTCATTTTGGGGCCTATTTTTTCATTTCGCTTGTTGGGACATATGGAAATTTATTTTAACTTTGTAAGGAATTAGCAAATAGCCTTGAAAGTGATTGTACTCTTTTACACTTCTTATATTGATATAAGTTATAATTGCTCCCATCCTAGCCAACATTTGGTATTTTCATTGTAGCCATTCTAATTTGTGTGTAGTGTGGTTTTAACTTACATTTACCTGGTGACTAAAGATGCTGAACGTTTTTCAGATACTTATTGGCCATTTGATTATCCTGTTTTGGAAAGTGTCAGAGTAAGTCTTTTACTCATTTTTAAAAGTGTGGTGTTAGGCCTCTTAATTATTGATTTTAAGAGTTCTTATATTCTGTATATTAATCTTTTGCAAGATGTATGTATTGAGACTTTTTTTCTCAATCTCTATTCTGGCTTGCCTCTTGATTTTTTACAATGGTATCTTTTGAAGAACACAGCTTTTTGTTTTTTGTTTTTTTTGGGGGGAGACAGAGAGTCTCACTCTGTTGCCCCAGCCAGAGTGCAGTGGC